TGAGTTGTAACTTTGTAATTGTTCTTATTGTAATTCCTAAATTGCTTGGCTAGAAGCGTTGCTTAGGAACCCCTTTGTAAAACCATATACTTTCTGAGTTTGTGTTCTGACTAGAGTTAGTCATAAGTTAAAATCTTTGTAACTAGTGAGTGACAAAGTGGTTTGTGGTAAGTGTATCACAAGTTAGTTGAGTTGAAGTCTTTGTAATAGAGTCATTTCAAAGTGGCTTGTAATAGTGTGTTTACAAGTTAGTGAAGTTGAAAGTCTATAAGTATAAGTCGTGGTTTTTGTCCCCTTGAGTGGCATTTTTCCACGTAAAAATCTCGTGTCTCATTTACTTACTGTTTCATTAGTATTCTCAGTGAAAAATAGTTTGGTGGACTCATATAAACTAACAACCTCATTGCAAAATACGGAAAAGTTGAAGGGTCGAGATTAGATTAGCTGGTATAAATCAACAGCCCAGATCATCTTCAGTAGTATCAAATAACGACTGAGAGAGAGAGAGAGAGAGAGAGAGAGAGAGAGAGAGAGAGATAATCCAACGAACTTCTGGTATTAGGTTTCTCCTCTCTCATCTGATTCTTCTCCCTTCAATCCAAATTCTTCTCTCATCTAAATCTATTCTTCTCTTCTGTTTGCAGACTCGAACTCACAACAATGGCATTTATCATTTAACTGTTTGCTTCTTATTTTATTTTCTCATTTAGTTGTAATTTTTCCATTCAGTCAATAAAATCAAAAATTGTCCAAAAAATTTACTTGTTGTCTTAATTAGCTGTAATCGTGGGTTTGAGCTTGAATTGAGCTCAGATCTTGACACTATATCTATATCATGCGGCACATCTGATTTCTAGTTGTGTGCTAGGGTTTTTCCGTTCCTTTCATTTGTTCTAATGAGTTACAGGGATATTCGGCAAAGAGATAGAGAGAGAAAAAGGCAAGAGAGTTGAGGGAGAAGAGATAGAGGGTTGAGGGAAAAGTTGAGGCCTGAGGGATTAGTTGTATATATTTGTACTTTGCTATAAAATATAAAAAATAGCTATAAATAATAATATTCTTAAAATATTTTGATTTATAATAAATAGGGTGCATTATTTAGCTATAGCATGTAAATTTTCCTTAACTAGTGGAAGTTAATTAATGGTTGCAGAGTTTGAGTCACAAACTAGCTAGGGTGGCAATTTGAGCCCAAACACATCCAACCCGCCAACCTGCTCAGAGATTAATGGATTGAGCTAGAACAGTTTAGCTCATGGGTCTATTTGGGCTAAGCCCAAGTTAACCTATCATTTTTATAGCCTATTCTGGCTCATTAAGTAGCCCAAATACAACCCATGAATCTCACTCAAAACAAAGTCTCAACCCAACTGAAGACTTGTCTAAAGTTTACTTAGTTGCCCCATCATTGATTTCTGTATCTAAGTTGAAAAACGAGAATCAAAGTATCTAAGTTTTAATATAAATATGAATAATTTTGTAACTGAGTTGTGGTGAAATTTATTTATTTAGAAATAACATAAAAGATATATTTCAATTTACAAATTTTAAATAGTAATTTGTTAGTTAAGAAAATATATTTTCATTCTCAAAATACTAATAACATTTGTTTTTGGAAAGGAGGGAGTACTTCTTAAGTGGAGAGTAGGACTTCTTGTATTACATTGTAAAGAACAAATAATAACTACATAAGTAGATATAAATCAAAGTTTGTACAGAAAATTGTCTAAATTGTTTTTCTCTAACTTTATCAACAAAGTTTTCTCAGAATTTCGTGTGGTTGGAAGGCTCTTTTATAAATGAATTGTTTTTGGAACAATTCCAGCATCAGGAAATTAAAAATTCAACTAGCCAAACCTTTATCTTGCACAAAAAATTTTTTCGTAATATTTTCTAAAACATTGTCTAACTGTTATTTTCTTTGCTTATTCCCTCCTTTTACACTTTTAAATTTTTGTTAAGATTTAGAAAGTTATAAAAGCTCATGAATAGTTGAGTATAAGATTAATCCATATGTGTTTATTAGCTAAAAATTTAAAATTTGAGATATAGCCATAAATAAATTATAAGGAAGCTAGGAAAGTAGGTAACATACATAAGTGTATAAAAAAGGTTAAAGGCTTTGTTTATGAAATATGGAGTATGGTTCTAATTTGTAAAAACATGGGTCAAGTTAGGTGGGTTGTGCTATGACCCGTTGTTTAGCTCATCTTACCCCAAGTATACTTTGGGCTGGGTTGGACAATAACTCATTTATTGACTCAGCCCATCTTGACCCGCCCAAATTCAGCCCAACCCGCCAATTTGCCACCGTATCACCAACAAGGATTTTGGTGGAGTAATAAGTACCCCTTCATTCTTAACTGGAGGTCTCGGATTCAAGCCATGGGTACGAAGTCGCTTTTGTTAGGGAGCGCTTTACCCCCAGTGCGGGACTCACCAGCGTAAATTCAGATTTACCCTCAATACGGGTATCAAACAAGTTTTTGTGGATAAGTTGTTTGGATTGCCCCGATGAAAGGAATTAGTTGAGGTATACACAAACGGATATAAACACTAATGTTATAAAATAATAATAAGATATTTTGGCTTCATCCTGTAAAAAAAATTCTAAATGAAGAATGAGAGAAAAAATAGAACATTGAAAAAGTTAAACAACGAAACTTAAACTGAATAAGAAGAGAAGTTGAGCACATGAATGCACGGAAAAATATATGATTGCAACAGCTCTTATTTCTCATTTGAAAATGGTCAAAAACGTGAGGTGTATGTAAGCTCTGTGGGTACTCTATTTGTTTCTTCATTTAAACAAATAATTCATGTCATATAATTAACATCTGATTGGTTAGATAATTAAAATGGACATTGATGGAACTTTAATGTGGCTATTTTTATTTCTCAAAATGGACAAATTGAGCAATATTATATGAGTCTAGTTTCAAATTTCTAACCAATTGCATTAAGTAACTAAATTAAAGACAAAGTTGCATTGTTTAACCTTTTTAGGGTCTAACTTAACTTTTCTTTGTTCAAATATAAGGTAGATATGGAACTTTGAAGTGAGAATAAGAGGAAACATAAGGTGAACTCTTATTGAGAGACAATAAGAAAAAAAAATAACACATTTGAATATTTAAGAATGATGAAGAGAAATTGGGAATATCAACTTTTATACTCTTTTTATGACAAAAATAATGGTGCTTCTATCTTTCAATAGTAAAATATTTTTTTTTTTCTTAATTATAATTTTCCAGATACATTTAAATGGAACCAATGGGGTATATTTTTTCATTAATTATAATTTTCCAAATACATTTTAGTCAAATAACTTACTTTGGATAGAACAAGTATATGAATTTTGTTTTAAAAAAGAACAAGTATATTTTTTCATTAATTATAATTTTCCAAATATGTTTTAGTCAAATAACTTACTGTGGGTAGAACAAGTGTATGAATTTTGTCTTAAAAAATAACATGGAATCAATGTCCGAATCCATTTTTAAGATTAGTAACCTTGATCCTCGTATATGAAAGAGGGTGAGAGTAAATGGGGAGAAATTCAAAAATAGCCAGATTTACAAGTGGTCGTTCAAAAATAGCCCAATTTTAAAAGTAATCAAAATTTAGCCACTTCTCATGTAAAGATAAATCTGAGCGAAAACATTGTTCAAAACTCGGAAAATACGTCAGTATATTATGCTGGAGTTCCAGCATAAGTATACTTGAACTCCAGCATATTATACTGGAGTTCCAGGATAAGTATGCTGGAACTCCAGCATAATGTACTGGAGTTCCAGCAAAGTATACCGGTCCAGTATAATATGCTGGAAGTTCATACACAAGTGCTCGAATCTCCAGTATATTATGCTGGAACTTTCCGTGTGTTGGAGTTCCAGCATAATATGCTGGAAGTTCATACACAGGTACACCGAACTCCAGTATATAATGCTGGACCGGTCTCTGTTGCAGCAAAATAGTGGCTATTTTTTATTGACTTGGTAAATGCTGGCTATTTTTGAATGACCAGTCCGAAAACTGGCTAGACCGTGCTATTTTTACTTATAATATCTGTGTTGGTGAAAAGTACTGTAAAATTAATAGAGGTGCGTACATGTAGGCTCGGCTCTACTTGTGAGAACCTAGTGGATACCACAATTAGGGGTGGGCGTTCGGGCAGTTCAGATTATATATGAAATTTTGGTTTAGATTTTCAGTTTTCGATTGAAGAAATGACAATCCAAATACAATCAAAACAAGTTTGGATTGAAATTTTTATGTCCGATTTCAGATTAATCGGTTTGGATATTTTGGATTTTCGGTTTGAGCTTATAAGTTGAGATGTTTCTTCTTTTTACAAAAATGAATATCCAAATGAATTACTCATGTTAAATTGCTTGAAAAGTTTTCCATTCTCACCGCAATCATCTAAATGTAGTATTAAAGTAATAAAATTATTATATAAAAAATATAATAGAAACATTTAAACGACAGATAAGAAATAGAAATAGTAAAACCATGTCCAAATAGAAAGTATTCACACTGTAACTTAACAATAAATATTGAATATATGAGATAATATATAATGGGTAGGATATTAAACTTATTACTATTGACATATGGATAATGAATAAAATATAAAGTATAAGAATTCCGAATTTTCGAATATCCAAAAATTCGAAGTACCAAATCTAATATTCAATCCGAAATCTAAAAATTTTAAAAATTAAATCCAAAATCCAATCTTTAATCCGAAAATCCAAACCAGAAACTCAAGAAATTTAAATTTCGGTTTGTATTTTAGATTTGCCCAAACTATGCCCACCCCTGACCACAATTATTTAAAAAAAATAAAGTAGAGATTGAAGAAGCAAAAAAAAGGAAAAGAAAAGAAATTGGAAACTCCCCAAGTTAAAAGCCTCTCTTCACCGGAGCCTCATCTCTCTCTCTCTCTCTCCCTCTCTCCTTCCTCCCCACTGCCCGCCCCCACCCCTACCCCCACCCCCACCACCGCCCCCACCTCCACACCCTATGGGGTTACAAAGCTTCTACACCTGAATCAATTATGGTTCAGATGTGCTCATAATTGTATGCATATACATACATAAGATACATATAAGTACCTTTCGGAGGAAACCCTAGATCCACCCCTAAAGCTTCTTGTAGGATCTCTTATTAGGGTTTCCGAACATGGTGGGACCTACACCGCCGCAGCAGCTACAAATTCAGACACCTTCTACGGCGGCGGCGCCAGCCACGTTATCAGCTGAAGATGAAGCTCTTAAACGAAACACTGATTGCGTGTACTTCCTCGCTTCTCCTCTTACATGCAAAAAGGTTCATCTCTTTTCTTTTTTCTTTTAGTTTGATTAATATAGCTTACTTTAGGTCCGTGTGAGTCACTCTTTTCTTTAATTAGATTTGTATGTCAGTGTAGGGACAAGTGTGAGATTTAGAGAATTTGTAGGCAGAGACGGAGTAAGGATTTGAAGTTTATGGGTTCTGAATTGCCGGATAACTCATAGCTTGTTTTAGTTACTGAGCTCGCAGTAAAAATATTTATATATATTTAATGGATTTCCTAATACAAATACAAGATCTAAACAAAAGCTTTTGGGTTCTTCGAACCCATACATAATACACTGCCTGCGCCCCTGTTTGTAGGTTTCGGGACATGCAGTGGAATTGATATATAGGATTCATTTAGCTGATTCGAATTAGTTTGGGATTGAGACGTAGTAGTAGCAGTAGTAGTTGTTGATATGATTTGATTAGATCGTTCTATGAACCTGAACTAGTTGAAGATCTGTGTTGCGATGGACAAGACTTTTTTTTTTTTTTTTGGTGTTTTTAATCCAAGGTGATTGCTTTATTTTTATTGAACTGAGCTACTTACTGGTTTTAGCATAGGCGGATCCAGGATTTGAACTTTATGGGTTCTGGATTCTAGGACAATGACCACAAGTGCTAGCATTATTGGGTTCTGACTTTAATTTTTGTAGTGGATTTCCTAACATATATAGAGTGCCTACATCCGCCACTGGTTTTTAGCTGTGGGTAAACGCTAGCGTTCTGGAAGCTGTGATTTTCTCGTTGGTAATTGGATATAGGCTGTCGTTTGAACTTTGGACTACCGATGCTTGATTCTGAATTTCGTTTTCCTTTTTGTTCCTTGTGCTATCAGATTAAAGAAAGTACCTTTTTTTGTCAGGAAAACTAAAGAATTTTAAATGAGTTGTGTGTCCTGGAGATTTTCCATAGTGAGAAACCATTCCTCTATGCAGAAAGTTGTAACTTATATATCTAGAAGTCTTCAATTTAAAGCACCGTTGTCTTTTGGTGTCCTTGTGTATGTGGAAATATCTATTTTAGGGCGTGATTGACGCTCGTGGGAGCGGTTAGGTTTTTGCTATTTGCCGCTTTGATACATATGCTCAAGCAGCTTGTTGGTTTGTTTTTTTAATTAGCAGTGTGTATCAAAGATTTTTTTTTTTTAATCGATATGATGGTTTTGAAATACTGGCCTGAGAGTCAATCTCGGAGCGAGTTTAAGTTAGAGACTTGGATGCCAAAAATAAGTGAACATGTAATTATTATCTATCACATTTGTCTTTATTATCTACAACAAAATGTTGGTTTAACATCTGAACTGTCATTTGATTTGGTCGGATTGTGTAAGACATAGCTAATCAATGCAACACGTGCGGTTACTGAACTTATTTCTTATTAGTTTATCCTTTTATAACAAGTGGGTAAATGACAATTGTTATACAAAAGCAGTTGGCATCGTACTTTTACGGTATCAATTTTTTTGTCGCTGAGTGAATACAGACGTGATTGGCTTCTCCTTGATTTATAATTTTCTAGTGATTCAATCAGCGTCTTTGTTCTGTACGGATCTAGATCAACTTTTACTGACCCCTTAATTATTTTGTCAATAGGGAAGCGAGTGTGAGTACCGCCATAGTGACGTAGCTCGGCTTAATCCTCGAGATTGCTGGTACTGGTTGAATGGAAGCTGCTTAAACCCAAAGTGCGGGTTCCGTCACCCTGTGAGTCATTTCTTCTCTAACATACTCCGCAATCTTATCATCTATGTGCTATAAGTACCTAGGGTTCCTTGTTTATGTGATATAAACTTAACAGCTTATACTTTTATTAGTAAACAAAGAGTGCTCTGTTCAAGCTAATTGTTGACATTATAGTTAACAATCTTCTTCTTACAGCCGCTTGATGGATTTTTGGGAGCTCAAGTTCAAACTCCTAAGGGATCTTCTGTACCTCCAGTGGCATCTGTTGCACCTACACCAAATGTTCCATATGGTTCTGGTAAGCAAGGTGTACCCTGCATATTCTTTCAGCAAGGCTTTTGTTTAAAAGGTGATAGGTGTCCGTTCTTCCATGCACCAATCTCTGTATCTAACAAAGCCCCACCACATCCTGTATCTACTGCATCTACTGAGAAAACCCCTATTAAGAAGGCATTTGGTGGGTTTGAAAAGTGTGTGCAAGGAAAGACATTTTCTCAAGCAAGTACTTGGAAGTCTGGTGAATTGCCTGTGCAAGCACAACCAGTTGGGAAGCTGGGAACTCATTTGTCCAAGAATGATGCTGCCTTTAATGAGAATGTGCTGCCACCAAATTCTGTCATCGATTTTTCGCATCATAGGCACAAACCAAAAAGTGTGCCTCCTACAAATGGAAATCCTGTCGGTAGGTCCAACAGAGTGCAGCAGTCTGTCAGGTTTGATGATCACAGCGGCATTCAGAACCCAAAGGATGATGACATTTCAAGGGAGCTTTCGCCTGGTTTTGATGTTCTTGTGGATGATGAGCTAAGAGGTAATGATTTCTATCACGGCGAAGATCAGTATGGCAGAAATGAGGGAAGGAATGAATACGATATTGGCCACTCTGCCGATTACACTTCAGTAGCAGATATTGACCAAGATGCGTACCATGATGTGTATGGGCGCGACTCTCATGACAGGCTTCCGAGTCGCTCTGGTAGGGTGCAGCATAGACCTTCTTCTGAGAGAATACAAGGGGAATCAGCTCATCCTGAAAGGAGACGCTATGGTAGAGCGTACAGCCCTGAAGAAGTTCGAGAGTCAGATTTGAGACATCGTTTATCAAAGCATAAGAGGGTTAATGGTTTGAGGTCAGTCATTAGTCATGACTATGCAAGTGAAAAACATGTTGATAATCGAGGCTACCAGAGTTCCAGGAGGGATCGACACCATTTACCCTCACATGATAGTTCCGTTGCTAGTCGTCTTCAAGGAAGAATAAAGCTACCAAGTAGATCTTCCTCTCCAACTAATGGGACAGACATGCGATTAGATAGGGATATGGATAGGGCTAGGGACCGTGGCAGGTTATCTTTAGAAAGGCCACAGCTTCTCTCTCAACAGGGAAGGCTTCGAGATAGAATAAAGGGAAGAGTGCAGGAAGATCTCAATAATGCTGGAAGAAATAACAGTGGTCCACGCCTAAGAAGAGATATAAGTGAGAATGATTCTGATTTTTCTGGTCCACGAAGTCTTGCAGAACTTAAAGGTAGGAAAACTGCTGATATCAGTGAACAAAATGTCAACGAGCAACAGGCCCTAGGGAAGCGTAAGTTCCAAAAGCGTGATGGCTATCAGCAAAGTGGAGGTGATCTATCATTTGAAGGACCAATGCCTCTGCAAGAGATCCTGAAGAGAAAAAGAAGTGAAACGGGCATGACATCTGATAAGAGTGAAGACTATCAACGCGAAAGAAAAGACCACTCATTGGTAACTTCCTCCATCTCCAGGAGCAGGTCTAACCTTGGGCAGAAGGAAGAATCTCCTCCATCAGGTGGGAAAAATGGGCCTCAAGAGACAATATCTGCTGGTCATCAATCTCCTCTACACGATGGTGCAAATGAACTTGAAGCTGAAGAAGGGATGATTGTGGAAGAAGAAGATGATCAAGATCCCAAAGGTCATGATCAGAGAGATTATGATTATGAACAGGTTGATGGTGAAGACTACAACTTAGATGAAGGCGAGAATGCTGACGCTGGTGAGGAATACCTGGATGAAGATGACGATGATGGAGATGACTTTGCGAAGAAGATGGGCGTTGTTTTCTCGTAAACAATGTGATACATCATTTGCTCTGAGCTGTTGCTATGGCTGTAAGCATTTGTGTGCCATTTTAGGTTGGCTCGAAATGAGCAAATTCAACCGCTCTACTGATTTTATTTCTAGTAGTAGAGAGAACACTCTTTTTCTTGCCTTTGCATTATTAGAAATTTTTCGTCTTTGTATTTATACTCCGAGACTGGATGGAAAATTCTCCATCAGTTAGTGGCACTTGGCAGCTCTATAGTTTTGCCAAAAAGGGTGTTGACTGTAACATTAGAGGATTAATAAGAAATATGTTTGCTATATCTTCTCTTGAAATTGGTTCAGCTGAGCTTAGTTGTAACTTTTTCTTTTTAAATTTACATATTCGGTAGTAACATTGTTACTTGTATCAGCAATCTGCTCATTCCGAATTACAAGAAGAGACTAGGGGTGTTCAAAATCGAATTGAAACCGAAGTTTAATGGCTTATTGGTATCAGGTTAACGGTTTAACGGACGGGGAACGGATTGAAATTTTTTTATTAACGGCTTATCGGTTTGGGGGCGGGTTATTCAATTTTCTTAACGGATAATCCGTTATATATATATATATATATAATGCATATGGACGATCAGGATTTATCAAAAAAATGGAAGAGATTCTCCAATCTCTTCCTGCTAAGAACTTGAAGCCAGATGTTGTTACTTGGACTTCCAGATTTGGAGCATACTCTAAAAAGAAACAATACCAAAGATGCTTAGAAATATTCGAGGAAATGATCGATGAAGGTTGCTATCCAGATGGTGGAACAACAAAAGTGCTCCTTTCGTCTTGTTCGAGTGAAGATCAGATTGAACTAGTTACAACTGTAATTAGATCAATGCACAAGAATGTGAACACAGTACAGTTGGTTTGAAATGGCTCATTTAATTTCCAGCAATATGTACTCCCCCCAAACACTGTGTCGAAGTATGTTAAGTTTCAATCAACTGAAACATAAACGATAACCGCCCGATAATAGCTAAACCGATACCAATCCGCCCGATATCTTATCCGGTGTCTAGCGGATTAATACATTTAAAAATCGATAACCGATATGCCAAAACGTTAAGAGTAAATAATCGTCCGATCCGCCCTTAGGCAGCCCTAGAAGAGACTGTGGCAAGAATAGTATGGTGTAAAGGAAGAAGAGGGCCAATTCTTGTAAGGTGGAATAGAACATGGAATCCTACTAGTTTAGGAACAAGTCCCATGAACTAATTACATTTTCCACCCTTAGTAGTTTTTGTGAAATTTTTTCTTATTCTCCAATTCGTTTTATTCTATGCTTCTTTTCTTCTTTCGTTTTTTTTTCTTTTTCTCGTTTCTTCTTATTTTTTTGTTTTTTCCTTTCTAATTTTATTTAACTTCTTTTTTATATTCTTTTTCTCGTTATAATCTAATTTCATTTACTGTTTTCATTATCTTTTATTATTCTTTTTTTATACTATTACCAAAGAAAAACTAAATTGTGTACCAATTAAATGTAGCTAATACAACCAAAAAATATTAACTAACATATGATATCAGTATAGTATATTGTTATACCAATAGGGTATACAATTGTACAAAAAGAGTTGAAAAAAAAATTTAATTAATTATTAAACTGAAATGATGTCAATTGTCAATAAAAATTTCAAAAAATCTAAAAAGGTCTAATTGTAAGAGTATGCCGTTACATTACATAGCATACTATAATTTTTTTTTTTTTGCACTTTCAATTTGCCCCTCACGCTGGGTAAAAGTTTAAAGCAAATTAAAAAGGAAAAGGCAAGTGAATTTACGGGTAATAAGTGTATTATTATAGTATATTGTATACTATTACAGTATACTATTACAGTATATTGTATATTATTACAGAATACTATAACAATATATTGTATACTATAATAGTATACTGTTGCAGTATAACTATATACTCCTTAGTATATTGTATACTGTAGCGGTATACTATTAGGTAACTGTGTTCTTGTTCGATTATTAAAATATACCGTTGCAGTATATTGTAAATTATAATAGTATACTGTTGCAGTATAGCTATATACTCCTACAACATATTGTATACCATAGCGGTATACTATTGGGTAGCTGTGTTCTTCTTCGATTTTCAGCTGAAAATTTCGATCCCCATCACCTCAAATCAGCTCCAAATACTATCAAATTTCAGTATAAACTTCCAGAAGGTACTATAAGCAATATTTAACAGCACCCACTTTGAAGTAAACATGAAATCTTCAAAAATAAAATTGAGCTTCAAGCTCAACAATGGTGGATATTCAAATACACATAAAAATTTAGATCTGGGAAGCTTACTCGAAGATACTATAAGCAATATTTATAGCACCCACATCGAATCAAACAATAAATCTTCAAAATAAAATTTCAAATTCTGGAGCTTCAAGCTCAACAATGGTGGGTCTTCGTACACACAAAAAAATCATAAGAAGAGGAGGTAGAGCAATAGCATGGGTTGACCCTCTTAGTGAAGATCGATCTGACAGAGGAGAAGTAGATCCATTTAAGTCCACTACCAAGTAAGCTTGCAAAAATGAAGTTTAACATTCTGTAGTTCAAATGCGAAGGCAAATAGCTGTGGGCCGGGTAAATAGTCTTGATTGCATAGGTAGGAAAAGTAAATAGTTTAGGCTTGAATATTTAAAGGTAAATAGTTTGGGCTTAATGGGTATAAAGTGAGATTTCTCTTTAATCTACTCATAACAATTTTGTTTCCATTTGTTTGCTCGGTATCGTTTTACATTGATATTCTAATAAAGATTCAAATTTACTTTTGGCACTAACTAAGAGAAAATAAAAACTAATAAGAGATCTAAAAATAATTTTGTTTAGAAGAGAAACTTGCTTCCGATTGGAACAGTTAAGTTCATCAGTTCTCAGAGCTTGACTTCTTTTTTCCTTCCTTTTAGAAAAAGATATACTAGTACAGTTAAGGATGTACATGGACCGGGTTGGTTCGGATTTTATTAAAATCAAACCAAACCAATTATATCGATTTGGATTGGATCGGTTTTGTCGGATTTTTCGGGGTTTTCGGCTTTTTTGTTACTTAAATATTATTTCAATCTTACTTTGTTAAATTTTTTATGAGTAAATATATGTTTAGTAAAAATATAAAAAATTGACAATATATTATCTATTAAAATATTCTTATGAGAATATTTTCTTAGTAACACATAATAGTTATTTTTTTAGTCGTCTGACAATAATGTTTTGTTGATGCACACTTTCAAGGTTAACCGAATTTAGTAATTAAACATAAAAATCAATATGATACCTAAATAATAATGATCACTTCACATCCGAAAAGATATAACAATTTAATAGATCTTAACATATGATATGAATACGGAAGAACAAAGAGATTGACGCATTTCAGTAATACTTGATGAGAAAGTGATCATACAGCTCATTATTTAAGGTTAATAAATATGGAGCACTTCATATACTATTAAATATTGCATCTCGCAAGAGAATCCCAAATATTTCTAGACATTTTTTTAAAGAAAATTCTATATAAAATCTTAAAAATATATATAAAAATTATATATTTATATGTTGGTTTAGTTCAGGTTTTTTTTTACTCAATACCAAACAAATCAAACCAAACCTAGTCGGGTTTTTTAATCGGTTTGGTTTGACTTTTCGATTTGGTGCGGTTTTCCGGTTCGGTTTGTACACCCCAAGTACAGTACATAGTAATAGCCAATTCACTTTTACAATTCAGAAGTGTATTTAATAGTAGTACATTCTAATTATATGTCACTCGCGTTTGTAACACAGAAAAAGGCGAGCAAATACATTTTTTTTTTTTTTGGTGTGTGAAAGAAATAATTAGGAAAAAGTATATAAAAACTTTCTCATGTAAATAGGGATGCATCAAAAAAGATATTGAGTACAAGTTGCTGAGTTGGGAGGTGTGTTCAATAATTCAGTTCTTGAACTCTTTTTCTTCTTTCTCATGAAAACCCTAAACACCTCCTACCTTTGTTGCTTTTTGTATACAAAAACAAAAACAAAAAAAATAAAAATAAATGAAAAGGTATTAATTACATGTGAGCGTGCGCTTTGACGAAGCAGTGGACTTTGGTCATCTGCTGCTGTTGTCATCTCAATAGAATGCGCCATCCCTTATAATTAACCCTTCTTGATCTATATATAAATCCGAATTAAAAGACAAATGTCAGGTTAAAATGCTTTCGCATCAAGCTCTTCTATTCAATTCATAGATATATTAATACAGAATTGGATCTGAAAAGAAAAGAAAAATCATGCAACTCTAGAAAAAATAAAAAATACTCATTGTAATTAATTAAAAACTAATAAGCTCTATTATATTTTTATTTTTCCCCTCAAACGTACCCGAGAAAATAACAACACAAGCCATTTGTGTAAGGTGGATATTGTATGAAAAATATCTAAATATTGTAATGATAAATCATTTATTTACAAAAGAAAATATAACTAACCATGCATGTAAGAGTCTCAAGTCTCTAACAAAAAATATATTATCAGCCAAATTAAAATACATCCAGTAAGTCATGTCATTCAAATTGGAATATTAATTTGTTTTGTTTTGCATATAACCAGAAATTAAAGTTACCTCTTTGGTTTGGCTGTTCCTTTTTTCGTCCCTTGCTTCCCCTAGATGATGAGAGAGTCTGCAGATTTATAAGAGGAATGAGATTAATAATGTGTCTAGAGATTAAAAAGTGTGGTGTTAGCAACAATATATATTGCTAAAACTAATGAAAACACGAAATTATTTGAAAGAAAGGAGGACTAACTGTCTCTGTCTACCTCAGTCTAAGTGAAAAATGCTTTGTCATTTATAGAAGAATGGATTTTAACATTTGGTCGTACAAGTTGTAAGACAATCATCATCTTTTTGATTTGGTGGCAGAATTGTTATGATTTGGTCAAAAGGTGAGTAGATTTTAAATCCGTATAGCGCATGTATTTCAAAAAGGTTAGACGGATAATTACGCATATATTTCATTCGCTATATATACAATTCTTTACCCCTTTTTTAACACTTATTTTAGTCATTTGAGTTCAATTTGTTGTTATTTTAGTTCCGGACTCTAAGGAATGGCGAAGACTGTTAGGGGTATAGTAGATATGCCCTAGATCCAGTCTCATATATTTGATAATTTGAACATATTTCTGTGAACGTTATTTGATATAAACATATATGGCATTTGATATTCTTTTATTATATTATTATTAATTGCTTGATTAATTTAATAAGGTCCTTGTTTAAATTTTGAGACTTACCATCGTGACGAGGATCATGATAATGAGAGTGAATTTTCTTATAATTTAATCTAAATTTGTTCTTGATCATAGGATTATTATTTTGGACATTAGGAATCCGGTTAGATCAATATTTATGTGATTGCTTTTATGGGATAAAGATTAGTTGATCTCATTAACTAACTCACATAGATAGATGATGCATATGGAGATATGATCATTGAACCGACTCATTGGATAATTCCTAATGGTTAGAATTACCATAAACTGTCAATAAGATATTCTCTTGAAGAATGTGATGTAAGAGTTTCCTTTGACCTAAGATCGTCATAGTAATTGACAAGTTATTTGTTGTGCTTTGATACTAGACACCTATGGCCCTAGGGCGATAGTTGAAAGGATATTGGGTACGATTGAATACTTGTAGACTTAGTGATTGATTAAGATAGAATCTGTCAACTCTTAGTAATGAGTTTAAGCTCCATGTTATCATGAATTATAAATGACCAAACTAAAACCTTGGTCAGGGCAATTGAATGAAAGAAGAAAAGTATTTCTTAGGTCATTCAATGGTCGATTATATTTGACATGGACACATAGTTGGTCGCGTGTTAGGATTTGACAGTTGAACCATATCCTAGGGTGACTCAGAGCTATAAGGGCAGAAGGAAATACTACTTTATTCTTCTACTGGTTCTTGAGAGTAAATTGTATACTTCATGCTATCCGGTCGTTAAGGAGTATTGCTAGACGCCACCCTTGATTAGTATATTGATGTGATCAATTTACTACCGGCTTAGTATTGAACCTATGGGGTCGCACACTAACGAGTGTTTTGGTCTTTGCTAAAGGATTAATTATTTTATTATTTGATAATTAAATTAAAGAATGTAATTAGTCAAATAGAGTTGAAATATTATTGCATTCTTTGCTAGCACAAAGGATATAATTAATATTGTGAACAAATTAAAGTTTTCTATTTGGAATAGAAAATTAAAATATATTTCTTGATTGATATATATATATATATATATATATATATATATATATATATATATATATATATATATATATATATATATATATATATATATATTATATTTATTTATGTAAGGTATGTATATAAATATTAATGAAGGCTTCTAAGTAAATCCTATTTTGAATTGGATTGACGAGAAGTCCAGAAAGGACGTGCGGCTACTTTAGACCATTAAGAATGGGATTAGAATTTTTTAATTAGAACTTATAATCCAATTTCGAATTGGATCTTATGGAAAGTCCATAAGGACTTGGCAGTCACGATGCCAATTTGAATGGGTATAAACTTTTACCCTAAGTAAATCATTACCTCAATCAAATAGGAAAAGGAATTATAGGTGATGCTATATAAAGGGTGGTGGAGAAAATTTGCTGCATTATTAATTCTTGAAAAGAAAAAATACTTTGTGAATGTGAGAGTGCAATACAAAGCCAAGAGAGAAAATACAATTACAAGAAAAGTGTTTCTTGTTCTTCTAATTTGAGTTGAGATTTTTGAGAAAAATTTCAGCACAAATTTTTCGTTCAATTTGTTCGCTGATTTCGTTGATCAAAGAGTTGATAGCAAGGATCGGTCTCGGTGTGGATACGCTTAGAGTCTTCGCACTATCGAAGAATTTTTTAAACGAGACTTTCTTCACCAGGAACGTCTTAGATCTGATCTTTGACATGTAGATAAATTTTAAACACGAAAAGAACATCTATCTAGGATTGTTATTGTCTTCCGCAGGGGCGGATTTACCTGGGACGAGGCAGTGTCACATGACACTGCTTCGTATGAAAATTTTACTAATTGTTTATATATAATTAAAATGCAGAACCAAACAAGCATATAATTTTATTAAAGTGACCCCACTTGGATGACTGGCCAGGCAGCTCATTTGGTAAAGTGAACCAAATCAGATTTGTAGGTTGCGTTAAGGGTTCAAAGATCTGTAGCTGCGTTTAGTTTTATATTTTTTAAACCTAAACTAATCAGTCAAGAACCAAATACATGAAGTATCAATGTTGATACCAATGTGGCTCAAATAATACCTGCAAGGAAGTTTGTTGTGATAACATTGCCGTAGTAAGTATTTCATCTTATTGAGGCAATTAATTTTCCAAATCCATTTGAAGTCTTTATCAGGGCATTCTATAGTAACACCAAAGTTCAAATAGGGCAGAATAGCCTGATAGACATCTTTACTTATTCGGCTTTGATATCCCAGTCCCCTTACTCCACATAGTTTCAATCAGGCACTTGCACTTGTTTAAAACATTAATTTTAAACACCTCGGATACGTGTGTTGTTCACTCGCGCTGATATAAATGACACATCATATCCACCTCAGATAAATTTATGCCATGTCATTATTTGTTTTTACAAAAAATACTTTTTAATAAAAATATCAAATCCATCCTTTTCTTCTCAAAAAAACCCAAACCTTCCTGCTCTCTCTCCACCATTTTATCTCTGTCTCTTTCACCCGCCACCGCCACTACAACTCACCGCCACCCTTCCTTTTCCACTCTGAAAACCACAACTTAAACCCATTTACATTCTTTTTACCTAATTTTTCTCCATTACTACAATCCATTCAACCAGCCATGGTGTTCTTGCCGCCACCATCGCCGGCAACCAGTCCAAAACCACCATTACTCTCCTCTTCTCTTCAAATTTATGTCATCCTTTCAAAACCCAAACAACAAATGAATTTAAAAAAAAAAAAATCTATGCTTAAATTTTCTTTCAAGTCAAACACCCAAGAAGCAGCACCCAAAAATTGAAAAAGAAAGAGAAGAATGTTTCACTCAGTATTTCCTACCTCAAATTTCTTATTGGCCCCTTCAGCTATAGCCATTTTTTTTTTTATAAAACTAACAAAATTCAGGTTCGTCATCGTCTTCAGCAGTCGATGACGACCCAATTTTGGCGTGGAGCGCTATTTTCAAGCTTCACCGTCTCATAATTCTCTGGCGTCTTCATCGGCTTCTTCCGTTATTTTGAGAAAAACAAAATTAAACAACTTTGTTCCTTGACTAGCTGCTCTGTTAAGCTCTATCAATTCGGTCTTGTCATGTGTTATGCTACTAATTTTTTGTCATAGCTCCAGTTGATTGCTAAAATTGGAGGAGAAATAATGTAATGGTGTTTGGAAAGCTCTGGCTGAGAAACAAAATTTAATCTTAGAGGCTGTGGAGCCGTGCCAATTTCAATGACGGTTGGGTGTACGAAGCGGATGGGATAGAGAGCGGCGAGATAATGGCTAGCGTTGTTTTTCTTTTTTTCATTTTTCTCTTTTATTATTTTCTAATCAAATTTTGTACAGTTACTCGCTTTTAGGAGCGTGCAATCACTTATTTTGTTTGACTCAGCAAAACAAAGGCTACGTAAGCTTGGTCAATGGTCAGAGGGATTTAAAATTAATGTTTTATACAAGTGCAAGTGCCTGATTGAAACTATGCGGAGTAGCGGGACCGGAATATCAAACCCGAATAAGTAAAAGTATCTGCCAGGCTATTCTGCCTTCGAATAGTATAAGATCATTTGAAGAAGAAGGACTATTATCAAATAGTAACAACAGGAACATAATATAATATGATATAATATTTATACTTTTTTTTTAAAAAAAGTTTTTTATCACTTGGAAATAGTATACACGCACATCAAGCGTATCATAAGACTAGTATTTTACATAATAACCGAGACATCATAATACTAGTCTCACGAAATACTTTTAAAAAAACCAAAAATTAACGTAATCATGCCGACCAAAGAAAACCGATAGAATAACCAAAAAAATTAATATGCCATGAATTTCTCATTTGCTTCGGTGATTCTAAGTTCACTAACATTCAATTCTCCCCTAGATTCTTGCTATCTGTCTAGTAGAAAACTAATGACTTGGATTCACTTTGGGTACTATAAAGTAGGGGTGTCAATGAATATTTAAAAATCGACTAAACTGATCACCACACCGAATCGATTTTTTAGGTCTCTTTCAATAAAATCGTAGGTTTTTATATAAATCTATAATTGTACCTGTCACACCTCCTTTTTACACCCCGAGGGCGTATATAAAGGGAGTTTTTCCAATTTAAGTGACATTATTTGAAATGGAATTATTTATTTATTTTTATTCAGAGTCGCCACTTGGGATAGTTTATTTGGTGTCCCAAGTCACCGGTTTATTTTAAACCCCAAATCGAGGAAATTTCGACTTTCCTTTTGAAGTTTGCGAACCAGAAATTCTGAATAAGGAATTCTGTTAACCCGAGGGAAGGTGTTAGGCATCCCCGAATTCCGTGGTTCTAGCATGGTCGCTTAAACTATTATAATTGGCCTATTATCTGATTTTAAACATGTTTTAAACCTATGATGCGTTTTAAACTTATTAACCGCTTTTAATTATTTTATGGAATTATTCTGGAACAAGCGACGATTGTCGTACACTTGTTTGTTTGATACACATTGCGAATCGTGTCACGGGAACCGTACCCACGATCTACAACATGTTTAAATTATT